CACTCGATGAAAGATGAACAATTGAAGATCTGTAGTGATTCCCAACTGGTGGTAAAACAGATAGAGGAAGCTTATGAAGCTAAAGGCGAAAAAATGGCCCTTTACCTTAGAAAGGTACAAGAGTTGATGAAGAAATTCTTGCAAGTTAAGATTAGACAGGTTTCGAGAACATAGAACTCGTGAGCAGATGCTTTGGCAAGGTTAGCAACATCCACGCAAGAGATCTTAGACAGGTTGATTCCAGTAGAGCACCTAGCAGAACCATCTGTATGCGTTGAGGATGAAGAAGCACTACCTGTGCAAGCCCCACCGAGCTGGATGGACCCCATCCTAGGCTACCTTCAGCATGGAACTCTGCCAGAAGATCCCAAAGAAGCTGTCAAGCTAAGAACCAGGTCAACTAGGTTTTCTATCTTGCAGGGAAACTTGTACAAACGAGGATTCTCAATGCCCCTTCTTAAATGCATGGGGGGTGAAGACGCCAACTACATACTCAAGGAAGTCCATGAGGGAGTCTGTGGCAACCACAATGGAGCTCGAGCTCTAGCAAGAAAGACGTTAAGGCAAGGATATTATTGGCCCACAATGCTCAAGGATGCTACAGACTTGGTCAAGAGATGCAAGATCTGCCAAGTGCATGCCAACATTCCCCATTGTCCACCAGAGATCCTAACCTCGGTAATTAGCCCATTGCCCTTCTAGCAATGGGGTCTTGACATATTGGGACCCCATCCTACTAGTGCAGGACAGTGCAAGTTCGCTATCATCAGAATAGACTACTTTACCAAATGGGCGAAAGTGGAGCCTTTGGCAACAATTACCGAATAGAAATTCCAGAGCTTTACCTAAAAACCCATAATCTGTAGGTTTGGTATTCTCAGGGCAATCGTCTCTGACAACGGGAAGCAATTCGACAATCCAAAGTTCAAAAACTTCTGTGTTGAGCTCAGAATTAAGAATTACTTCTCAGCTTCAGCTCATCCACAGTCTAGTAGGCAAGCGGAGGTCACCATCAGAACTATAAAAGTGGCTCTAAAAACCAAGCTTGAAGATCTGAAGGCTAAATGGGTGGAATACCTCCCAGAAGTGTTATTGGCCTACAAAACAACCGTCTGGTCAGCAACTCTAAAAACACCGTTTGCCTTGGCTTTCGAAACTAAGGCAGTGGCGCCTGTCGAGGTTGGGCTCCCATCCCCCAGGACAGAACTCACAAATGATGAACTCAATGGTGAATCACTTCAATTGAGCCTGGATCTTTTAGAAGAGAAAAGAGAGGCAGCTCTACATTATATTCAGAATTACCAGAGAAAGACGGCTAGGTACTACGACAGAAAGGTCAGACACAGGAGCTTCAAGGTGGGTGACCTAGTACTTAGAAAATTATTGTTAGCAAGAAAGGATCTCACTCATGGAAAGTTGGGGCCCAACTGGGAAGGCCCGTATATCATCTCGCGGGTGGTCAGACCAGGGAATTATGAATTACAGACGGAGGAAGGAAAAATCCTGCCCCACTCTTGGAATGCAAAACATCTCAAGAAATTCTTTCAGTAAGTCAATTTTGTAATTTGATCATTCTCAATAAAACTGCAAGTCTTTGATTCATCCTGGTCATATTGCATGAAAAGAGCTCTACAGCTCATGATGAACTCTACAGTTCATGAAAATAGCTTTATAGCTCATTATGAACGCCTCAGTTCATAAAAAGAGCTCTATAGCTCATGATGAACTCTACAGTTCATGGAAAGAGCTTTATAGCTCCTGATGAACTTTTCAGTTCATAAAAAGAGCTCTATAGCTCATGATGAACTCTACAATTCGTGGAAAGAGCTCTATAGCTCATTATGAACTCTTCAGTTCATGAAAAGAGCTCTATAGCTCATGATGAACTCTTCAGTTCATAAAAAGAGCTCTATAGCTCATGATGAATGCCTAAGTTCATAAAAAGAGTTCTATAGTTCATGATGAACTCTACAATTCATGGAAAGAGCTCTATAGCTCATGATAAACTCTTCAGTTCATAAAAAGAGCTCTATAGCTCACGGCTAACTCTCCCAGTTCATTCAAACGGGCCTAGTAGCCCGAGAATAGGGACATATAACAAGGTTCAAAATCATTAGTTTAAGAATCAACAGAAGAGTCAGTAACCATCGAATAAGAACAAAGGCTCATATATCTAGCAGTAATACAAAAACAAAAAGATTACAAAAGATATTCTCAGTTCTTATTCTCCCTTTAGGTGTCTCCGGAGCTCAGCAACTTCCTCATTCAGGCGGGCATTTTCTTCTTTTAGCTCATCCCTCTCCTTCTAGACCTCTGTCAGAAGATTTATAACCTTCTACCAGGATGAGGAGAACAATATTGGGCTAGAGAAGATCCAGATGAAGAAGAAGAGTCACTGGCAGGGCCACTCTTACGTTCCCGGAGGAAGTACCAACGACCTCATCCTCATCAAATTCAGAGGGACAGGAATCAACAGAATTTGGGTAAGAAACAAAGTCCATAGTGGCACCGGCAGCACTGAACAGGAACAAGTTATTCAGCGTCACCAACTCAGAGTAGGGCACAGGCTTAACTTCAATCATTTGATCAATTTGCATCTCATCCAATAAATTCAATTCAAGAGGACCTACCAACCAAATTAAATCTTATGATTCGGAAACCACATCAAGAGACCTGAACAAGTACAGGTTGCTGAGGTACTTACCTAAATAAGAATAGCTTCTCCAGGATCTGGGAACTCTGCACTCTCTGTAGTGCAGCTCTATGGACCTCCAAGAGTCCCCAGAAACATAAAAGAAGTAATGAGCCCATCCCTCAAGAGGAGAAGGAAGGTCAAGTACCAGACGCCGCAGCTTGAAGTGCCTCCATCGAAAACAGACAAAACATGGGACCTCATCTTTTTCGAGGTCAAAAAAGTAAAAGAAATCTCCTATAGTGGGAAACTTGTCATCCCTCCGCAAGTGCCAAAGCAAGAAAAAATTGATTATGATAGCCCACCCCTTGGGAGAGAGATGAGAAGGATACAAACCGCAATAAGCCAAGATATAACCAACGGCGGGATGAATAGGAAGACACAACCCCATGTCCAAGCCCCCTCAAAGAAGAAAGTCTCCCCTCGAGGGAGATAATTGTAGGTCTCGTCAGAAGATGGGGCTCACAGAGCTAATTCCACATCAAGAAAGAACTTTTTCTTTATCTCGTCTAAATCTGAGGATGATATTGATGAAGGAGCTAAGTAACGGGTCTGTCACTCTCACTCAATTCCAAAGGAGCTTCGTTCCCTAAACAGGGGTGAGATTGGGACAGCCATTGAAGGGTTTAGAGAAAGTAAAGAAGGAGAAGAAGCAGAAGAATAGTAAACCCTCACCTAATACAACCCAAGGTTCATTTGAGAAGATTCTAGCATGGTAGATAAGATTGCTCCATAATGGTCTTCTTTCTCTATCATCATTAAAGCCATAGACAAAAGTGGCTGTGAACTGCACCCTGCTCTCAAGATGCTTGATCTTGCAATGGACAACTTGGTCAGACTCAGAGAACTTACTAAGCTCCACATTAACTGGGTTCCACCCAATCTATATCCTTCCAAAGTTGTGACTGTCATAGTTTGCTAGAAAATTCCAATATCTAAAGACCCCCTGTACGACTCTATTTTTATTTATAGACTTCACCTATGTTTCAACAAGCCCCAAACTATCAAGCTTCTGTTCAAAAATAATTTTTTCTAACCTCCCCATGTTTAGAAGTCTCATTAAGACCTCTAATGTTTCAACATGCACAATTCATAGAGGGGTTGAATTTTCTAAGCAATAGGTGCTCAGCCACCTTGGACTTTGAGTCTTTCTTCTTCCTTTTCTTCTTTTTGTTTGGCATTTGTTGAAGTTTAGCTCTGGTTAGTTCCTCCTCCTTACGGACTTCCTCAGTTACTTCATTTGGTACGTTTACTTTAGATTCAAGCTCCGCTCTTAAATCAACCACAATTTGCCCCCTCCTTATTGAGCTCCTTAAATTTGTTAGATGACAAAGTGACACCAGGTTGCATGAGCTTTTGAGGAGAGTTGCTCTCATTGACTGTTATCTTAGTGACATGGTGGTCATGACCCAAAATATCTTATTGAAAAGAGGTATAGGCGCCACTTTGGATAACCAGTCCCATATTTTTCTTGGCAGTAACCGAGGAAGAAGCTTGGTGAGATTCTATCATATCCTCTGTTTGAGTCAGAACAACCTCTTGCTACTTTAACCCAATCATAGCTGCAATTGCCTTTCCCTTATCAAGCATATCTGAGCTGGCCTATAAAGAAGCTGGTTTGGGCTTCCAGCTTTCCACAGTTCTTTGTTTGGGACAAGTTGGCTCATTGTGACAAAAAATGCAACAGTTATGACAAATTTTAGGTCTCCATTTGTACTCTACCTTGATCTCTAGGGTTTCAGTTTTCCCCTACATGTCCATTAGGAGGTCAAAGCTCACAACTAGTTTTTCAGCAGCATTCACCTCAACACATAATCTTACGTAACTTAATCTCCTCTTCTTTGCAGTGATAGTGTTAGCACAAAACGGTTTACCAACTGCACTAGCAAGATAACTTAGCCCTTCATCACTCCAAAATTGGAGGGAGATTTTATGCAACTTAATCCATAGTAGAATTAAAGAGTGGTTCTCTTTGGTTAGAATGAGATCAGGATGCCATTTTTTGAGGATGAATGGCCTTCCAGAAAAAAGCCAAGGGCCAGCTTCACAAACTTTGGTTCTAGACTCATCATCCTTGAACTTAAAAAAATAGAACCCAATTTCATTAGCATAAACCTCAAGGAGGCCCATATTGCCCCAAATCTTGTAGCTATAAAGCTAACAGATGTAAAAGGGAGTTTTTTCTCTATGAAGTAACCAACTATGTAGTTTCTTCACTTATAACAGCCCTTAGAGACAACTTTTATGGGATATGGACAATGATTCTATTCTTCTCTTTTTTGGGTTCAAAGTATTGAAGGTTCATTACCTTAGAAGGGTGTTGGTGTAGAGAGTTGGATTTTTCCCTTGCATTTTGCTTTAAGACTTGGCTCCATGGCTTGGCAGGTGTGAGCCTAGTTTGTGGAACACTCCCATGCTTGCTTGGATGCTTCCCATTTGAAGGTCTCCCAGCCGTAGGAACAGGGGAATAGTCCCTAACATTGTTACAGGCAGGGAGAGTTGGGAACTCTTTGTAGCTACGGTGGTCCACTATCTCAACATCAACTGTGGTTGAAATAGCAGAAGTAATCGTGTTTGTAATAACTTCTTCGGCCAGCTAGTTAGTGGCAAAGATGGTGGGTTTGGTGGGGTATCTTTTTGTTCACTGCCTAGTGATGTTTTAGTGAGAGATTGGAGTGACCCACTTCCATTAATGGTTTGGTAGTTGGTAGACTAGGTAGGAGCCCCATCGATCTTGTCTGGATCTTTGGAAGTAAATGCCTCCTCTGTCATGGCTAATTTAGGTCGGTTTACATAAATCAATGGAAAACAAGGTTGGGTAGCGGATTTGCAGAAGAGAACATAGGGTGAGAAGTATTGGCGATCTGAGTGAATGAGGTGGGTAAAGGTAGGAAAGGGGAGGATTAAAGGAAAATAGGGGAGTATGAGAGAAGATTTGACAAGGAAATTCTAGGGTTCAAAGGGGTCGGGGAAAAGGACAAAGAACCATCGGCTTGCTCTCACAGACCCAGGACTTGGGTAAGTTATTTCCATTTGCATTGTCCTTCTGCAACTAGAGATGACATACTTGGAAATAAAGATTTAAGTAACTATCTTTATATTTGTTTAAAGAGGGAACCCTCCATGTGGTGTGAAGAGAAGAAGGTTGTGAGAAAGCTGTGCAGAGTCCATTCTCTTTTACTTGTCTTGGCTGTTGAAAACCTAATGATGATATTTCTTGATGATACATGAATAAGAGTTTTAGCTAAGAATGAGCTCGGGCAATGAGGTCAGATGAGGAGCCTAGAGCTCAGAAGTCTAGGTCTCGAGCCTCTCTCGGATGAAAAATCAGAGGAGGTGAGAGAAGAACATCTGGCTAATAAGAGGCATCCACAAAACGGCAAGAGGACTATAATTAAGACGTAAAACTCTCAACCACCCAAGATACCCTCCCAATATCAAGGGAAATCCCGCGGATTTTCGACTAGGACCTCACTGAAGATCCCTTAGAAATAGGAACATGGCTATAAATACTGTACAAAGCCTCCAATGTAGAAGAGGAGCCCTAGTGTTATCAAAGATACTCTGTAAATCACAACCACAATTAATACAAACTCAAGGAGTAAGAGACTTCATTTGAAGAGTGGACTAGTTAAGCTCTCTCGGTAAACCACTATATTTTACTGTGCAAGCTATGCCAATCCCCTAACCCTTGAACACATTGATTCGGATCAACTTGAGTGATTTTTTCATTCTACTCAATTGGCATTGTAAACACCATCATTTCTATTTCATTTTACAAAGCTTATTAGATCTATAGATGCAAAAATCTTATTTTTGTTATGGTTTTGGGTGACATTGTTTCTCTGTGATGTAATTCATTTCTTCACAAGAGTAAAGATTTGAATTTACTAGTTTTGTTGTCAATTGCTTCAAAAAGAAAACTAGAATTAACTAACTATTTAGCCCTTAAACTATACAATTTGTGTCAATTAAGCCCCTCAACTTTGGTTTGTATCAATTTAGCCCCTTAACTTGTCAATTTGTGTCAATCAAGTCATTCCATCCAATTCAGCCGTTTACTGTGACGTACACGTGGCTGACGTGAGGCAAGTTTCAGGGGTAATTAATGGAAAAGAAAGTATTTATACGCCAAAGCTTCAACAACTTCCCTTCTTTATATCATCTGCCAATCATATGGCCAACAACACAAAGCATAAAGTGCTCTGTGTTGAGTTTTCAACAACTTCCCTTCTTTATATCATCTGCCAATCATGTGGCCAACAACACAAAGCATAAAGTGCTCTGTGTTGAGTTTTCAGAAATAGAGCAAAGAAAGAGTTACATTCAACAATAAAAAGAAGGGAAGATGGAGAATCTTAGTGACATATTTATGGATATGCTTGTAATTGCATGGAAAATCTCAGAAGAAGATTTTTGACATGTCCAAACATGGGTATAGGTATCCAGCTTGTATGGAGAATTCCTTTTTTTCTTCCATTCCCCTAATGCTTGTTCTCTTCATCTTTTAATGTTGCAGAATGGTGGGTGCGATTTTTTCATTTGGCAAGACCCGCCAATGTGCGTGCGTGTACTATGAGTGATTCTAGGACTTCTTCAAAGATTGAATACTATAGAGACTCAACAGGGGAAGGTCAAGGCAATAGAGAAGATGTTATGGGTAGCATTAGGAGTTTGTTGTCTCATAATTTGGTTGTTGCTAAACACAGATGTAGAGGAATCAAAGAAGGATGTTTGTAGTTATAATTGATGATCCTTGCAATTAGATCATCATGGGTTTCAACATATAATACAAGACAAAAAACAAAAGGTAGATCTGTCAACACCAATAGAAAATTGAAACCTAAAAATCAAATAATATAATATTCTTCTTGTTTCAAACACTTAGAAAAACTTAGAATCATGACTTACATTAAATTTTATATGGATTCAAAAACTAATTTGTAGGTCGCATCACTCAAGCCATTGTTCTGGTAACCAAACTCAAGTGAAGTGGCAGATTAATCAGAGAAACCAAGGCCTTAAGGTTTTTGTGAACAGTGGAGGGAATATGATGAAGGGAAAAGAATAGACGAACAGTTGAACCAAAATACTTCATTTTCCTTTAATTACCCCTAGAACTTGTCTCACGTGAGCCACGCATGCGTCTGTCCGTCACAGTAAACGACTGAATTGAATAGAAGGTTTTGATTGAAACAAATTGACAAGTTGAGGAGTTAAATTTACTCAAACCAAAGTTGAGGGGCTTAATTGAAACAAATTGTATAATTTAAGTACTAAATAGGTAGTTAACTCAAAAAACTAATTTCAATGAAATTAGATAATGAAATACTAATATCACTATCTATGTGGTTGGGTTGTGGCAGCTTGGTGATTGGGTTGGGTTTTCGTTGCGGGATTTAGATCTCGTCCATTACCTATTCCTTTCAATTCTCTTTAATATAGTGTTAAATGAGTGACAGGTGTAAAATTTTGAATTTTAATGGAGAAGATATTTCTTTATTCATTGTATTGTTGATGGAGTGTTAACCATGGTTAAGAAATTCTCTCAAGACAAAAATCTTTTCCATTGAAATTTAAAAATCTTAGACACGTCACTCATCTAACACTGTATTAGAGAGAATTGAAGAAAATAGGTAATGGAGGGGATTTGAATCCGGTGTTTTGGTGTATGGCCACATTTGGACGGTGAAAGACATATTATGACTAATTTATCATGATGTAGGTTTTGTCATTAGATGATTTATGTTTGTCGCAACAAATGTAATGCAAATTAGACATAAACAATTGACGAAGACTATGATACCAAAGAAGATATTGTTCTGATTATTACAACGCATTAAGGTCAAGTTATCATTTTTGTAGTGTAAGTTAAAATTCCAAAGATCATGATCAATCACAACCCAAAAATTACAAATTTTAAAGTTCAAGTTACAACTCGAAAAAAAAAGTTACAATTAATTGAAGTAATTCATGATCGATTACAATATTATTAATCAATCATAAATTAGCTCAGGCATATCCTCAACTTTGATTTGTACCTTAACTTTTACAAATAATAATTTTCGATATGACAGCGAAATTTTTTTTTTGGGTATCTTAGTGTTATCGTAAACAATTAGATACTCACCTACTCGCAATTTTGGGTAAGTTAATAGAATAATAATATTGTTCTTCAACCAAGCAGGTCCAGACAATGACATGAAGTCTCTTTTGCGCAAGAGGCATGGTGCAGGAAGAATGCTGATGGCATTCGGCAAAGACTCACGTCTAATGTAGTCTACTTATAATTTTTCCATAATTCTCTAATTTCTAAAATAGTAAGTGGAAGAAAGAGCGAAATTTGGATTTGTAAATTTTGTGTATTGCACGGTTTGGACACTACTTAGCATATACTTATAAATGGACACTACTTAGCATATACTTATAAATGTCAGCATCAGTGAATTTTTTTTTATTTTCTATTTTACCCCTAATTATTACTATAAATTCAATTATACCCACATATTTTTCTGTCTTTCATACCTATTGGACTTCCAAAATATTTTGAACTCCTTTATTAGTTGTATAGCTAGCTAGACTTTATGACCTGCCAGTACATTTTTCTTTTTTCATTCAATTCAGCAAACATCACCAATTATTTTTAACTCCTTTATTAGTTGTATAGCTAGATAAGCTTTATCTCTATGACTTGCTAGTACATTTTTATTTTTCCATTCAATTCGACAAACTCAATTAGAATTCTAATACCACATGGAAAAATAATTGCTAATTTTTATGTGACAAACAACCAGTCATGTAAATATATAACGACCAAAAATCTTGCGTTATAATATACCATTAGGCCGGTAACAGTATGTTTCTTCATCCAAAATTGATTTGTTCTATTTGTATTTCTCAAAAGCAGTTGGTAGCTTTCTGAGCTTCTAGAGGCTATCTTCAACGTTTAAGTTAAACAATTAGAAAAGAAAAAAGATGCTCGAGTGCAGAAAGAGGTAATGAAAACTTTATCTCAGGAAGGAACTGCTTGATATTGCGATGTAAAAATGTATGGATATGCCTAATTTATGTCTCATGCACACTTTTATTTTCTTTTTCTTTTTCCCTTAATTTTTTCCAAATCAGTTTATTGTATATTATGTGCTTTTACAAGCTATATCCTAGAAGAGAAAATGAAACAATTACAGCAGATAAGGTGGCACACTTACAAAAAGAGGTAATATAAGCTTGATGGATGAATAGATCAGTATTGTGATATCGAACGTTGTGGATGTTTTTAATTTTTTTGGTGCTTTTTTTATTTTTTCCTATATTTTTGTTTACACTTTTTTTTTAATTATTTTAAGAAGACAAGAAAAGGAAGCAACGAGTGACTATTTGGGCTTTTGCAGGCTAGCCTAGAAGAGAAACTTGAAAAACTACAAAAAAGAGAGGATGTACACATTCAAAAAGAGGTAATGAAACATATTTTAATGAGAGGAAGTTTGATGTTGCAGTATAGGACTTCGTGATGGGTTTTCAAAAAGAGGTGATATTAAAGAATGATTGGGCTATATGGAAGTTAAACAATTTTAGAACTCGGAGAGTTGTTTATCT